CCATGGGCTGTTTACCTCTGGATCCCAAATTGAAGCACGAAATGTTGCACGTGCCCTCTGGCGATTTTGCACAAGAAACTATGAGGGGGAAAGAATTTTGACCCCAATGTATGACTCCTTAGAGAATTTCAATGACCCAGCTACTTGAACACAAGAAATGGTCAATCTATAGAAGATTCTGAATGGAAAAATGTCTTACTATACTAACCGTATCTCCATCCCAACTGTCGGCAAATTGATGGCACATTTCCAAGTTTACGTTCGTTCACTTCAAGCATCGGTAGGGAGTAGAATGGATAGTCTGCAAAGAAAAACTGCATGAACGTTCAACAGACAAACGCTATAAGGAATTGATTTGGTACGATAAGAGCTGCTTTCACGCCGCAGGTCGCATTCCGAAAGCTGCATAAGTCAGACTAGCACAAGGCTGACAGCTATTGAGCTGACAATGAGACGGCAAGAGCGGCCGCGGTGGTGTGATGGATAGTGCACTCGCCCGGTCAGCGATAGATGCGGGTTCGAGTCCCGCGTAGGTTCTCACTTCTGGCCACAACTCAGCATTCTTGTGCAAAGCTATAGGAAATCGTACAAGACAGTCTACTATATGGAAATTGATGCCGTGGTCAGTACTCCTTGAGAAAGGTAAAGTAGCCTTCCTATACCCTTATGTCGCTTAAAGAGACCTCCTAGCTTCATCTCCGCGTCCATGAGCTGCCACAAAGGTGCTGCACTGGCGGAAACATCGCTAGAAGAGTCTCGAGACCCACAAAAAGTAATATTCAACTCTGTGCATTAGGAAGAAACGAGCATCTCTAAGAGTCGAAGGCACGGTGTACTCAGAGCAAGCCCATAACATAACTCTTTGTCCGCTACAGTTATACTAGGTAACAAACCATCCGCCCAAGAGGCCGATTTTCCAAGGTGAATAAAAAAGGTACAGTACCTTCAAGAATGAAATCATCGCGATTGATATCTCTGCATTCGTACGGTATCCGAGCGTAGGTGAGAATCATACGAATCACTTTCGATTCCTCACCATCGCTAAAAAATCGTGCAGCACGAAGTGTGGAATCCGAAAATCCATCTGAAAACGGAATGCTCGGCGAAACAAATAAATAGGAAATGACAAAGTAACCAAGACCAGACAAGAAAAATGAGAAGAAAAAAAGTGAAACAGTGGTTTTGACTTTGGAAAGGAAAAATTCCGAAGAATTGTTAAAAGAACACAAAACTCACGTGTTTTTCAAACTTTTCAACTGAGGACGAAGCAACAACTTTTATGTAGCGATAGTTTGCAGATTTCTGAAAAGCGAATTTGACTTAGGTTACATTTTTCATTCAGATTGTTTACGTTGAAGGCAGTGGGCACGAGTGGTGTGGCAAGCGGCTGTCGCCAGTGTCATTGCGATTAAAGGGCTGCTAGAGAGCGTTCGGCCACACTCCACTCAACCCTTCCTCCAATGACGTTGGCGCCAACCGCCCGCCCCTGCAGTCCGGTCCACTGTCATTAAGAATTACGCTTCAAAACGCAGAGAGATCTGATCGGATTCAAGACAGCAGAATTTCACGCAAATTTTCACGATTTGATTAGTACTGAGTATACGAATTATTATTTCGATGTTGGCGTTTCTTATGAAAATTATGTATTTTTTGGAGCCCCGCTTCGCTCAGTGCCATACCAAGCTAGCAGAGCGTGGAGGGTAGAAGGCGACAATAATTACAGTTGTTTTCGCTGCAGATGCCGGTGCATCAGGGGACTGGGCTTGGCGTGACTCCAGCTCGTTCTCCACCAGTTTTTGAAGCGGACAAACGAAAGCACAGTTGGTGAAGAACAAGCTAATGCCGTGTCAAACCCAAACTCTTGACACACCCCAACCAATCCGCGCAGCGAAAAGACATAAGGAAAGGTCGAAAAAAAAGGAAAAAGTAGAAACCTTCTGCCGCTCAGTGACTTCACGTGGCACTATTATGAAAACTTTGGAGGTGAATGTCACTTTTTTATCTAGACTCCAGGTAATTAGCTATTCAACTCCAGCCAATCAAATGTACACATGCAAAGTGTTAAAAAGTGAGAAAATTGGTTTCACAGTTGCCATGGTGAGGTGCCCTCTGACGTTTCCGGTTTTTAATTACTCCCTTTCAAACAGGTTCTACCCAATACGTTTTTAGCGCTCAAAATTACAAACTTGTAAGTACCTTCCATCGAACTGACACTTTGCAGACCATTGAGACGAGGAAAAAACTGGTGAGTGTAAAATTGCCTGATGGATGTCGAGATAGACGGGTGGGGCAGACTAGGCGGTTCTTCATGCGGTCAGCTGTTGCCAATTGCTTAGGATTGCTCTATAGGGCTCAAAAAGTGGAATTAGGTTGGTCCTAAACGTAATCTGGAACCAACTGAACGCGATTCCAGCTCAACGGTTTAGTGAAGAAGTAGAGACGGGATATAGCATGGGGATGGGAGAAATGGCGGTGACAGTACGACCCTCCTATAATGTTCTCTTCCAGTACCTCCCCCTGCACACCCCTTCCTCCATCCTATCACCAACTTCCCCATGTTCCAAAAAATCTCCCGTTTTTTAAAACACTAATTGCGAACGATGGGGAGGGTAGGAGGCCGCCAACCAAAAGGTCAACAACCGGAAACATTACCTTCAACCCCGAAACTCTTCTCCCTAGCGACCAAGGACGACCCCCACGGGACCTTTCCAAGGAGCAGAGATCACACCTCAAGCGTTAAGGAACTTCAAAATTGTAG